TCGTCGTGGGAGCATATTTTCTCCTCGAATACTGGAAAAATGTGTGAATGTATCTTTGCCCTCAGGGCACATATGTGTAGTCAAGTGGAAATCATAGAGCACAATATTCCAGTTCTAAAGTTATATATCAAATCACATAATACAAAATAACTTGTCTATTACGAGGTCTTAACATTGTGTAAATGCAACGTTGATGGCTCATTGTGTCAACACCAAAACAGGGAATCATCACTGTACATTCCAGTGTCAGACATCAGGCGTAGTTATGTTCCCTCTACCAACAACAGCAACTGGACATTTAAAAAAAGACTTTTTTTCTGGTATTTTCAAGCTGTGTTCAATGTTTTTTATTGTTAGTTCGTTTCAACACTTTGTTTTATGGCCTGCATATGTATTTCTGTTTTCATCGCATAGTTTTCCCAGCTCCCCACTGTTCTGGCCATTGCCCATAGTCTCATTAGTTTCTCTTTCCAGCTTCATCACTTTCACCTGGGTCGACTTTTCTCATCTGCACTCACTCATTCACTAAATCACTCTCCCAATGGTATCTAAGTCATTTAGTTTTCCTCACTCCCTGACAGATTCTCATCATAAATCTGGCATTGCAACCTCATGTTTTTTTCCTTTTTTTTTTTTTTTTGAACCAGCTGTTTTTTTCATGGTTCAACTCTCCAGTCAGCTTTTTTGCCTTATTTAGGTTTGGTTGTTTCTTGTCTCTTTTGTTTTGTGTCCCTGGAGTTCTGGATAGGTCATGTTTTCTGTTGTGATATTTTCGAGTAAATCAGCCTTTAATGAATCCTGTCTCATCCAATTCTTGTTCTTTGTGTACAACTCCGCAAATCATCAACCGTCTGTGACAAAATATGAATGGAAATGTTCCAAAATTTGTATTCTGACAAACACTGTATCAAATATCAGAATTTTTTTTTGGGTTTACAACCCCTATTTCATTTCTTATAACAAGACGTATCTGACGTTTCTGCTCATGTCTAACCCCATTTGCTAAAATCATACACCATCACCTCTTCACAGCGCTGCAGTAAATATATTATTAGGCCCTAAATGCTGCACTTTTCTGGTTTGTCTCATTTTTTTCATCTCTTTCTATTATAGACTACATCATATCATGTTCATGGTTTGATACAATTCATTAGGAAAATATTTTCTTTCCACTAGTTTTGCATCTGCATCAAAGGGCAGTTATGTCACTATCAAAAAGACATTTCACACTAATTTCACATGAGTTATTTGAATCTTAAGGGTCATTCTCCAGCTGAACCCTGCATAACATGACATTTAGAGAGATGTTTACCTCATGAAAGATTTTTCACCCATATATGAAGAGACAGACTTTCATTCTCTGAGGTAAGAGCACCACTTCGTCATTATGGACTTTCCTTTTACTTCAGATTCAGTCTGTTACATCAGCTAGATGCTGCTAAATTTTCTCCCTATTTGTAAGACCCTCTTTGCCCATAGATACAGCTCAGCAACCAATAACCGCATCTTGCATAACTAATGCAAACCCATCTTTCAAGAGCATTCAAAATGTTGTCACAGGCCCTGTGTCCAAATAGCTGCTAACTATTATCTCTCCACTATCGGGCTCAACACTCAGACAGCTCAAGTGCATCACTGTGACATGTTTTTATATTCATTCTTAAATACCCCTATCCCCAAGGGACTTTGGTTGTCCGCAAACGATTTCTGTCTGGTTACTCTCAGTGGCCTTTAAATATTTCATGTGCTGAGCTGTATCCTCAGAGCAGTTCAGCCTCACCAGTGCAAACAGTGATTAGTGCAAAATCATTACTCCTTGAATGAGTGTGAACAACAGTAACTAATATAGAAGACACCAATGAATGATATTCCTTCTTTTTTTATCTAAACCTGTACAAATGAATGATTTTTCATTCTGTTATTTTGGTCCGGAATTGTTTATCCATTTGAGATTGTATCTTTTTTCTGCTCAGTATCTGCAGAGCCCATTAACAGATAAAATTGAACCATTTTCTGTTGCTGCCTACTGTATTCGTCCATTTACATTTTCAGTGCGGACATTTCTTGCCTGCATACTTCAATCCACCACTTATTGAACTGTGCAGATTTAGAATTCTCTTTTTTCCACCTTTGAAACTCAGTCATTTTTCATTGTTTTCACATTCTCAATCATGTTTCTTAATGTTACCACTATCTCCACACACACATGAGAATTTGGTATGGGTCAAAGAAGTTGTGCAAGTTTTGAGTAATCTCTGCCAAAGAAAAAATTATTTTTAATAGCAATTTTATCAGCAACTGCATCGGTTTCAGGAAAACAAATAAATGAAGATTATGCTTATATGCGCTATCATATTTGTTGTGTAAAGTGAGTGTTTCAAATACTTATGAAATAAGGAAAATTACTGCTTTTCTGTGACTGATGTCTGCATTTTAGACTCATTTGTGTCTACCTCTCAGTCCATGTGTCATCAAGGTACTGTAGGCAACATCTGTCTGCCTAGCTCTATGTACTAACTCTAGGACCATAAATGTAGATTAATGTACTGGCACCATTCATGAGCTTCTCAATCAACTTGTCTCAGTAAATTAATTTCATTCACACCCATCAGAGCTGTCCCCTTGATGTGTGCAACTGCTTTCGAGTGATGAGGTTACAAAGTCTCAAAGTATACTCGGAGAAAAAATGTGTGAACAAAAGTGATGTTTGAAGTTTTGGGATCTATGCAAATAAAATCAAATGATGGGTTTTGACA